TCCCGCTCCCCTCCCGGTCCCGCTCCCCATGCCGGCCCCGATTGCGGTTCCCCCCTCGCTCCCTCTCACCATCCTGCCGGCAGTTGCCGTGGCAACGCGCGGCGCCGCCGGCCTCCAGGGCGCGGTTTCACTTCCGGGGAATCGCCTCCGCTGATTGGCCAAGATGGTGAGCCGACCCCGACACGTGACCCAGGGTGGGCGGGTCCAGGGCCGCGTGACGTCACCGCGAGGGGGACTTTGAAAGATGATATTTAAAAGCATTTCTTGAATCGTGACTTGTAATTAATGCATTCGACTCACCTCCAAACACAAACCCCAGGTGGCAGCGTTTAATTAAAATTTTCTCTCCTTCACAGCTATGACGATGAATCTCTAGCAGGTATGGGAGATACAGGCGCAGGGCGGAACACAATAGCCAGAACATGAACATCACCAAAACAGATGATTCTGGTAAGATTACTTGGTACAGAGTATGCTTTATTCAAGAAAACCAAACCTTCAATATTCCAGAGAGACTTGACACGAGCACAACTGCCCCCTACAGTTTTTCTGGATTGACTCTGCTCCGGCAAGGAAATCAACGCTGTGGCATCCAATCGCCCAAACTCTGCCCACCCACTTTCCTCACCTTAATGTTCCTTTCCACATAGTTAAGTAAAACTAAAGACGTTTAAGCTTATTTAAAGCAGTATTTTTAACTCATTAATGCCACCTACTTTATAAAATTAGTTAAAATTAATAAAGCTTAAGAGAGGAGCACCTCTGAGAATTAGGTAACAATGTCTTGTTTCTACTGATGCAGTGCTAGATGTGTCTGTATCTTTTTGGGATGAGAACACTTACTATTTTAAATATTTTTTAAATTTTCCCAAATTGGTTGTATTCTTTCTGAAGCTTTGGTTATTCTCTGTCCTTTTAACGAGAACAGTGTTTTCCCACAATGCCTGAGGAAGGGAGGAATAAACTGCAAGAGACCGTGTGTTTAAAAAGATACAAGCAGAGAGAGATGAGACAGAAAAAGATATAAATGCTCCCTAAAGCTTCTTTGCAAGTGGTGTTACCACTGTACTTCTCTTTTCAACATTAGGCAAGGAAACAAGTAAATGTCAAACACTGCTCCCCCCATGCCCCAATGATTCCAAGGCAGTGACCTTGAAAGAAGGAATCTTTTAACTACTCTGGTACAGCAGTGACTTGCAGTGCTCAAGGTCTGGAGGTGGAATGACTGGGGGGATAAAGCTACAAAAGATACTTTTGCTGTCCCTTCTCAGTAAACAGATATGCACCTCACTGGAAATAAATGGAATTTTCTTTCTTACCAAACAAAAGAACAAAATAAAGTCCCTGCCCTTCACTTCAGGAAATAAGAGCAAATTACCTTGAGATGTAAAATGTCATCTTTGCTCACATGACATCCTCCCTTTGAACAGCTCTAAAAGGAGAGCACAAACACACCTTGAGTCAGTCTCCAGGGCAGCAAGGCACTCCAGCAGAAAAGTGGGAGTGAAAATGCTTGAACAAAATATATACCAGAGACCATTGGGTCAGTTCACAAAGTTATTTTTAAAATTAAGAGGTGGCTTGAATTGGCATATAAACTATTTGTTAGCAGTGTATCTTTCACAGAAGGACAGGACACAGGACTAATGCCCTGAAGACTGCCAATGGAAAAATATTTTGAGGTTTCCAGTCCTTGGAGTCTCAGTGTTCTTTTATTTCCTATACTTTTCACATTTGCTCACGTGTAAAAAAAAAAAAAAAAAAAAAAAAAAAAAAAAAAAAAAAAAAAAAAGCTACCAGAGAATTCTTTTGTCCTCAATACCTTATAGCAGTTTATGCTCAGAAACTCTTACCTTTAATATCTTGATTGCTTTCCCCAACATTAATTAAGCCACAGGGACAGCTCAGTAAACTGTACCTGCAGATTTCCAAAGAAAGGCAAGTAACCTTCCAGCACAGTCACTCCACGTAGAGGACTAGGAGAAGAAAATAACCCAGAAATTCCACAGAAACACCCAATATGCCCTTGCCTTATTCTTCCATTAAGTGGAATACATTAAGAGACAGAAAACAATCGTTCCTTCAACTTAGACGCAACTGCTGGTTTCATCTCTTCTTGAGAGCACCCCCAGGAACTGCAGGCTGCCATCCTAAAGCTTGGGCATCTTAATTTTTTTATTCCCTCCCTCTACATCCAGCCAGAAGTTCCCCTTTTTCAGTTTGTAACCAGTGCTGCTCTCTGGCCCTCGGGCACTGACTGCACCTCCCTGTTGGTTCTCCTCCCACCTGCACCTGGCCAAGCATTTCTGTGCCAGGCCCTCTCAGTACATCCTGTTCTCCTCCTCATCAAGGTCATCATCGCTCGGCTGCTCCTCCTCCACTGAGAGGGAAGCACCTGTTTTTGCTGCTCCTCCTCCCAGCTGTGCGGTCACAGCAAGTCGCTGCTCCCTGGAGGGGCCTCCCTTGTACCTTCTGATTTGGGAAGATATCAAGCACTGTGCTGAAAACAGACCTACCTTCTCCTCATGTCAAAAAGCAGAGCTCCTTGATGGCACTGATTAATTTCTCAGTTAAAGACCTAAGAATTTCACACTTGCAGAGCAGAGTTCAGTCCAGGCAGGGTTGCTCTGCTCTTCTACAGAAGAATAAAAATGCACTTAGCATAGAATAAAAATGTCTTAGCAACCAGCTATGTCAGACTTCTTAGAAACCCCGTGTCTTCATATTTAAGGGGTTTTTTCCATTACATAGTTTATGAAGTTTATAGAATAACAGATAATGAAATATCTACCTTCTATAGTATGGAAAGGAATGAGTCTGCATAACTGCTGTCAAACTCTTGCTCCATACAGCATTTCTTCTTGCAGCAGCCTGGTTACTGCTATAGGTCAGTGACCTGATTCTCATTTATTTTTCCTAAGAGCATTAAACCCTCCTAGAGCCTGAAAAGCTTTAGGGAATCAGCAGCCAACTGTACAAATGTAGAGTTAAACTCAGCAGTCCTTTCTCAGGGTTAACACAGCATATTAATAAATGAGTCAGTTCTTAAACTCAGTATCAGCACCCACTGATGAACTCCTGACAGCAGAAGTGAGGACTGCTGAGGAATGCTAATGGTAAAAATGATGAAATGAAGTATTAAAGGGAAAAAGTAAGTTCCCTTTATTTAGCAGTTTCAGTTGAAGGTTATACAGGAGCACATAGCAGAAAAGGTCATTAAACAAAAACGGTGAAGCCATTTTGCAGGTTTACCTCTTTTCTAGGGCATTTTACCAGATGATCATAACATGAGACAGTGACAAATGCATTCCAGCTGAGATAAGATATGTGGGTCATGCTGACTTTGCAACATTATAAACCACTATTGGGGATAACACAGCTTCTCTGTGAGGTAATTTACCTTCTTTGGATGAAAAGATAAATGCGAATTAAGAGGGAAGAGACTGAAACATCTGAGCTGTGCTATTGATCTACTAAGGACCTAGATAAGTCACAGAGAAACTAATGCTTGCTTTGCTGGAGATTAGTGATGGATGGGATAGCGGATTTAGCAGCTAAGGGGCTATCACTGTCAAACAAAGTCTTAGCACTAATTTATTTTTTTTTTAATTATCCTGCAGTAGTAGGGAAAACATGTCCTGTAGCAGCAGTAGGCAGAAGCAATCTTTTACTCATGACATAATGGACTCCAAACTAAAATATTACAAGGGACAAAAATACTCAGTGCTTCAAATGTGTTCAACAAAAATATATCTGTTTCTGATGAGTCAAATGTGGGTTTAATAAGTACTTGGTTGTGGGAGTCAGTTTTCTGAGGGGAGCACACATGGACTTTTCGCTGAGAAAATCAGGATTTCTGCTTCACCTCTTGAGAGCTTCTTTTAAATACCTGGCCAGGGACAGTAAATATAGTTCTTCTGCAAAGAATGTTGTAAAACACTGCTATAATGACACTTGTTTTTTGCAGCAAAAAGCTTTATCCACTTACCTATCATAACCAATGAAAGAGAGCAGAGATCAGAAGTTCAAGCAGAAGGACTGAGTCCTTACTTAGAAAAGTGAATAGAAATTACTTTTAGTATAGAATCTAAAGCTTTATGAGTATGAAGGTTCTGTTTGGAAAAGGTTTTTTAAAAAGTATCTATTTATTGAGATTTTGACATGGGACCTCTGATACAAGTATTTGTCAAAAACTGCCCTTCAAGATAACAAGCTTCATCTGTAGCTTTTAGTTTGTAAGGAAAGATTAGATTTTTTTCTATTCTAGCCTATACTTGTCCTTTCTGTGAGGGGCCTAGAGGAGGCATTTGAATAACCTGCCTGCAAGCTCGTCTGCCAAAGTGCCCAAATCAATGGGGAGAGGGAAAACTAAAATCAGTCACGGCCTCCACCCAGTGATGATCCCCACAGCTGATTTTGGCTGTCATTAAGCACTGAACATAGTTTCCTTTTCAGTATTTTGTATGCAACGTCACCAGAACATATACCTCTGGAAGGAAGATTTGTAATTTCCAAGGCTGAATGACATATTGAGAAATAAGCTATTAAGTACTCAGATTTACTACTCTTCCCATACCAGCACCCATAAAAAAGTATACACCTAGCAAAAAGGGTGAGATGACAAATGCTTCCTGGGGATTGCCCATTCCCTGGGAAGCACCAAGTCCAGATGTTGACGTGTTCTAAGTTGAGTACAGACTTGAAAGCACCAAGAAATGTACTTAGAAGAAAGCAGAATCCCTTTCATTCCTGCAAGATACTACCAAACACAATTAATTCCAAAGAGTTCAGCTTCTGTGAATAATTAAAAATCTGAGGCACTCCAAAAGGGAGCTTAGCAAAGAAAAGAATACTAAGAAAAAAGATGTCATTTGCACACAACAAAGTATTAAACAAATTAATCTGTAGCCATAACCTCAAGCCAACCAACAGAAAGGGTAACTGAAGGGCAATAACAGAAAACAAACATCAGATCCAGAAAGGGCTGAGAGCAAGGTGAAAGTCATTCTGCTGCCTGCATCCATCTCTTATGCTGGCATTTCCTCCTGCCCAGCAGCCTTGGCAGAGCGTTGTGATGAGCCCCAGGCTGGTGGAGGCTCTGCTTCCCTGCCCCACATGGGGATGTGTCTGGAGGAGTCCTGAGGCATGTTTAGTAAAATCACTGATGTTTTATTCAAGAGCTTTTAGAGAGGAAAAGAGTGCACAGTGATTACTGATATATTTTGCTGCTGCTAAAACAGCAATTTTGTGCTCGAACAAGAATTCCTGAGTGAAGTGGTGATTTGGCTCTGCATTGCTGTGGGCCAGACAAAGCCCAGAGATCTCTGTCTGTGAAATGCTCCCACTCCAGCGTTACCCACAGGCTTTGCTGTGCATCAGTCTCTGCGTCTGCTTCAAACAGTGCTCCTCTAAGCCAAGCTCATTGGTAGTACTGAGATGATCACAGAGTTGGTACAGAGGCACCAGCTGATTTTGGTTTCAGAGCTCCTGCAGGAAAGCAGGGCCTTTCTCCATGTTTCCACCGAAATGAGGGAGAAAGTTGTCTTGTTTCATTGAGAAAACTTCAGGTCATCCTATAGAACTGTTAAAAATAAGAAAGACAAGATTACAGAAGGATTTCCACCAGTGAGCAACATTTGCTTCCTCCTTGGTATCTTAAGACAAGTTGTTTTCTTGAAATCAGAAAACAGTGTTACACACACAAACAGTAATGAGTACCAACAGAGTTTGGCTGTGTGCTTATGCCTTGCACAATAAGGAACCTAGTTTTGTCTCTAGTTATATCTCTAGAATTTAGAAATCAAACCTAATCTAATTTGCTACAGCTGGACACCACCTGCAGGATACTGTTTAAGTACTCTGAACATTACGTACTTATCTTTTAAATATTGATAATGCCATTTTTCATTTATGTGACATGAAGTCCCACAGGGAATAATTATGCTAATAAACCTTAATGATTCTTGCAAATAAATGATCAAACAAAATTGCTACTGTTGATTTATATTAATGGATGCCTTTAGGAGAAGATTTGTCAGGATGCGCTGCTTCTTGAATCCCAATTCATCTTATTTAGCAGAAGAATGTACATAGTTTGTAAAACAGATTAAGTGTTTAAAATATAATGTGTTTGTGCAGTTTCTGCAGTTCATAACACTCAAGGACTATTATCTTGCCTTATGGCATATCTTCATTAAAGGCTTCTTTGTACACAACCTTTGTCAGTTCTTCTTTCCCCTCCTTTTGGCCCCCTATGGCTAAAAGAGGCCTCCTTCAGAAGATCTCTAACTTAACCTTTCTGTCACTCACACAAGGATCAGTGATCTCTATGCTGTCCTAACAGATAAACACCACTGTTGAACAACTTTGCTTTTACTGTAATTAGTCCAGAAACATTCCTGGTGATTTAATAAGGGCACACAACATGGAACTGGGTGACCTACAGAATTTTACAAGATATGTTAAGATGAGCAGTTTCTACTTTTCCTCTACTGGAAAGATATGCTGGAAATTCTCTTTCCCAACCACTCATACTTTTGAATTTTAACAAAGTTCTTTTGGAAAAGATTTTACATGGGCTTGCCCTTTAAATAGTATGTATGTTTGAAAGCAATACCCATGGACTTTCTGCTTTAGCTTATAAATAACCATGCCTTGACTCCATATCCATTTAGATCTATACTAGAGAGATACAGGTTCTTGTGCAGTTAAAGAACCTCATTTTAGTATTTTCAGAAGAAACATCTCTACCCTTTCTGATCTCCATTATCTGTTTAGTATTTTCTCCCCATCCCACAGGTGTTTGTACTACAAAGTACTCTTTAGGGCACTCCTAATTCCTCAGTTTTTCCTCTTCTTGTGAAGCATTTTTCAGTTCATTTACATGTGAGTACTGTTACTCCTCTTCCTTCTTGTCAGTAGGTTTGGAATGACATCTCTCATCAGGTTTCTCCAGGATCCAAGAGCTCTGTTGAGACCTGATTTCTGCAGACACAAGAAGCAGAAAGTATGACTAACACAGTATCTCTGTTAAATGAGATTTTTCATTGCTCCTTCAACATAGAAACTTTTCTCTTAAACTGTGTCATCTCTTCTTTGCAGGTTGCTTTAATATTTGGTGGTCAGGTGAATCCCATTGCACATGATTTCTAGTTGCTTGTTCTTTATTCGAAATCCAGTCAGTTCTTATTCTCACACCAACTGGCCACACATGTCTGGTTTTATATACTGCAGATATTCTAATTTAAGTTACTTGATCCTTAACAGTTAGTTCATGCATATTAGTTAAAATGTATTTAAAATTAGATGAAACATTCACTTGCACCATTTTTATGTATGTAAACTGAGATTCCAAACGGATGTCACTATCAATTTGCTAGGAACACATACACATTCCTTAGTGCTTACACAGTGGATTAATTCTGGTTTAATACTCATTCATTTTTATCCTGTGTCTTCTAAATAATTCATTTTTATTGACTTTCAAGTTACCACTGCAGCAGGACTCTTCACTGGCAGCTGCATAAAACAAAATCACTTTTATCTAGACTGCAAGATTCACTTTCTAAATATTTTCCTCTTTTTAAAACTTGAAAGGAATAATTCACTCTTATCTGCTTGTTATGCAATGTATGCTGGTTTCCTGAAGGATTATACATTTAAATTTTATTTCTAGAGGGGGGGTGTTCTTCTTTTGAATTTCAATATTTTCTGTTTAGTATTTGAAAAACTTAACTCTCTTTGCCTTCCAGGCAGCAAATATCCACCTTGCCTGGTTCCAAGGCTGGCTTAGCAAGTCATGGCAAAGCATCCTGTTACTCTGCACACAGCCTAGAATGGCAAAGGCCTGATCTAAGGTGTAGAAGGGAGTCCCCCTGTGCAAATCCTTCTTTGGATACCTTGAGCCTGAGTCCTTGTAGCAGTTTGTCCTCAACCGAAAGCAACAAAACAACCAACAATAATAATCAGTGTGCCTTCAAAGTGGGATGTGAAAAGGAAGACAAAGTGAGATGTATCTTAAATAACAGGTAATTCTAAATAGCCAGTAGCTTTGGATGTAGAAGATCCACCTGATCTGCACTGCACTGATTACACCTGTCTGAATGCAGTGCTGCCTTAGGTCTGCCTGAAAATGACCAAAGTGACTATTTTCCTACACAGTATATCTTTAAAATTCATTATTAGAAGACACTAAAATACACTCTAGGCTTTGGCTTAATTTAAGAGTTAGCTGTACCCTGCTCTTCCTTTAACAGAAGTGCCTTGTTTCCCTGGACAAGTTTCTGTGTGACTCACCATTTCCACAACCTCAGCCTCACATTCATGAATGTACCAAGGCTATTGAATATTTATCAGATTTTGGACTTTTTTTTTTTTCCATGAAAGATTTGCATTTAAATAAATGACAACAAAAGAGAGAGCTGAAAAGAGTCTTCCAGAACTCCCCCACATTACGTCTTTCAACTTTTGTACCATCATTGCAGTCATTGTCTACCAAATCTTCCCAGGCAGACAGAGAATATATTACTGTTGCAAAAAGCAAGATGCAGTTTAGGAACAATAACTGCAAAAATTAACTTCCTCAGCATAATTTTTCTCTATCCTCTCCCTAGGTGATAGCCACTCTTCTCACAAGAGTCTTCTGGCAGCATTCCCTCCCCATTTTTGGTGCAAATGCCACCAATGAGAACCTGCCACTCTCTTCGGTGCCAAGAGAACTGAGATGTTTCTGTTGGACAGACTCCAACAAGGGTGAAAATCAGAGCTTCTGCATGTTCCTTCAAGCAACAAAAAAGAAGCACCAAGACCTTGCCTGCCTACTCTTTGCACAGGCTTTTCCTTTCCCACAGGCATCCATGCAACACTAAACATCCACAGAGCAGTGAATCAGCTCAAGACCAGAGACATGGAAACTTGTGCTGCCAATGGAAGTGGCTACTCAGGACACAGAGAGCTGTGTGGAAAAGTTTGGAATCCATTTTCTCTTCACCCTCACCCAGTAACACAGAGAAAGGGAAGATGAAAGTGAAAGAGAAAATAAAATTATTAAAGAAGTATTCCCTGTCTCACCTGAGGAAACCTGCACCACATAAAGGCAGCACCAGAAAACAGACCAGAGGCATTTGGGTGCGTGATGCCACGTACTGTCACGCTTGTAAACGTTATTTCAAAGGCAGCTTTTGTAAGGGATTTTTTGGCCTTGCTGTTACCATGATGGGTTTAGAGGGTCAAGGACAGAGCAGCAATGACTCAGAATGCCACAGCTGGGGCACTGAGAATGCCACAGGATGTCTCTAAGAACCAGAAATCCCCTCCCTTTGCTTGCTGGTCACTTTACCAGTCCTAACATATCTGCAGCTGCTAAACTGCACTGCAATACTGAATTTGTACAGCTCCTTCATGCTGGCAATTGCAGGAGGTATAGAATGCAAAGAGAAAGGCTGGATCTATTCAATTCCCAAGGGGGCACCATGAGAAAGTTCAGCAACTTCCAGACCATCGCACTGCATTTGTTCTGGTGGCAAGTACCAACACTGAGGGTTTTCACCCTATATATTTTCTAGAACCTTTGTAAACTCAGAGTAATTTCTATCCTGAGGAGTAGCGTCTTCTCATTCTAAATCCGCTTTAATGATCACGCCTACCCCATTCCACTGAGACTGCTCAGAGGGAAGAGGCTCTAATCTATTTAGCTTCACGAAGGGTTTCTCTCTGACACGTGCTCTCCTAATAGACCATTTATCAGGATGAAGGGTGATCCCCAGGGAGTGCAGACAGCAGGACTGGCCTAGCCTGAGTGACAGTCTGTCCAGCAGAGATTGACTTTAATGAAGCACAGAATAAACAGGAAGATTAAGAAAGTGCAAAAATCAGTGACAAGTTTTGAGTCCACCTGGGCAGCTTACTGTGCAGCACAGATCTGTCACTGACTTATAACTGCTATGTATCTGTTTGGTTGCTAAGGATTAAACACAGCAATCCCACACACATTGAGAGAAAGCTTTCCCTTGGTTCTCACCCTTGAGAAAGGGTACCTGCTTTAAACCCAGAAACACAAGCTCAGGGTAGACTGGACTCTGGCAGTTGTCTGGTCTGACCCCCTGCTCAGAGCCAGGCCAGTTTTCAGTATGTTGCTCAGGGGTTTTCCAAGTAATTAATTTTCAGCTGACAATCTTTTGTAAATATTCATGGTGGAGTTTGTTTCTCTGTGACAGAAATGTAGTGACAGTATGGCTGTATTGTATGGAATCCATCCTAGCAAAATTCAGATCATAGCATTTCCCAAAATCTTGTTACTGACAATGGACAGAAGGCAGGTGTGCCTGCCAGTTAGGAACATCTACCTTAGGGTGAGATCATGTCAGCAGCTCTCTGCACTAACTGTTAATGGAAGATGATCAACTCAGACACAGATGTCTTTGGACAATGACTTGCATCCACAAACATCAGGCACGTAGCCCTGAGGTGTAGCCAAGGCTCATTTTTCATCGTGACAACTGTGACTCTTAGGCCAGACATCTACCCAGCATCTTCAAAGTTATTTCTTTTGTTGGACTTGGAAAGAAATTCATAAATGGAGGCAGAGGCTACAAATGAAGGGTAGTTTTTCACCTAGTGGTAACAAGCCCCAGATGTGGACAGGATTCTTACTACTACACCACCTCACAGCTAGAAAAGCCCAATTACAGTCTATTTATCTACTACCAGCAAGTAAGAATCATTTAAATCTTGTCTCTGGATGATCTGCTAGATGTAAAGACACCACTTTGACAAAACAAAGAAACCAATAATCTTCCTGCTAGTCTTGAAGGGAACACACATTACTGAAAGATACTTTACCCCCGAAAACCTGGAATTTGAGCTCTTTCTAGTGCAGAATTAAGTCACTATTAACTACTTTCAAAAAGTTTTGCTCACACAAGTCAAACTCTTTAGTGAAACAAAGCAGAAGTTTCCAAACAGAAAAATAACTTCAATGCATACTGTTGCTGCCAAATACCAGGACCACCTATCGTTTTTTGACATGAAATGGCTATGTAAAATCAGCTTTATAGATCTAGTTCAAGAGTTCACACTGTCTAGTTTATTTCCCTGTAAAAAGTCTGTTTTGCCTGTGCCAATATTCACACATGACATCCAGCCCAACAGACAATGGCTGCTCCACTGTATAGACTTCTGTATGTGTTTGGTATTTTTTAAAGCACAATTCATAAGGTGTGAGCACAAGAACTGAAGCTGGATGTGAAACAAGCAGTACAAGTGTTTCAGGATCCCCATCTGCCCATGCTGCAATTGTACATGGCCAACAGATGATGGCACCAAAATTCAGCCTGTTAGCAAATGCTACTTCAGAATTGACAAAGTGCCTGGGCAAATACATCAAAATGTATTTTGATAATATTTTTGATTTTAAAATGTACTGAAATGTAGCTAATTTAAACTGCATACACAGACACAACTAAGGGGAGGGCAGAATTCACCTTTTACAGTAAATCATCACTATTCCCTGCTCCCTCTTTGCCCATATCTCAAAGACTGTCTTTCAAAGTATGCATAGTCACAGTCTGACTTCTGACACTGTGGACAGATATTCATATTAATGGCACCATCATACCTTCAGCCTTTACAAATCTTGTGCTATATATAGCAGAAAGAATGCTCTTAAAAGCCCAGGCTAACTACAAGATCAAATGCACAAGCAAGAATATGAAGAATGTACTTCCAAGTGCACAAACAATTTGGCTGATACAAGTCACAAACATACTATCCCATCCTGGCTATTTCCACGAATTTCTTCAATCTTTCTCAATTGCTCTGGTTTAAACATCATCAGTTTTTATCCATCTGGTATATAAATATTCATAAATTAATTTATGAAAAATAGTCTCACTGCTTCTCAGGTAAACATCAGGTGCAGCTTTAAAGAAGCAGCAGCAGTACAGTTTTAGAGTAGCAAGCACTGCATATATGCTTTAAGATTTGACAATCTGATTAGAAATAGTATTTCTAATGCTGATTATACCTTAAAGCAGGAACGAGGCAGGTGCTAAATAACTAAACAAAGTACAACAAACAAAAACTTTGGTGTTTAACAATTTACTGGGTTTAGTCATTCCAGAGGTTTAATGGAAGCTATGCTGCTTAATCTATGAGAAGTGTTTTCCTTTTGCCATATGTTTGCAGAGCCATCATTAAAATCATAATTGTATTATTGGAATGAGCCTCAAAAATATTATGACCCAGCATTACATCCTGGAACCAAAGGTCAGGTCAGGATTTTGTTCATGGTATTAAGCATTGCTAAGCTTCAGGCAAGACAAAGAGGTCCATTAATTTTGGAAGGCCAAAATCCCATCAACTCTACTTGTTAAAAGTGTAATTAGCAGGTTGAATTCAACAGTCCATAATAATGCTAGTGACCACACAGTTTTAAAGGGTAAAAGTCACTGATATTTCACAGGGCCTATTTAAAATTTAAAAAATACTACAAAGCTTAATTATGGAATATAAAGAGTGAAATATTTTTGACACCTGACGCATTCTTATATTCCTGTTGTCAAAATGACTGCATTGAAATTTGAAAGCTTGAAACTGCATCTTCTGTTTAGAGATCACTGTGAAAGCAATTTCTATAACCTGTCCATTTATCCCTGCTAGCTCATTCATTTACTGATAGCACTGTCATTTGTTGACAGACAGTAATGAAGGTATTAGTAGCTGGTTTATCCTGCTTTGTACATTTTATATACCTTTCCTCATTAAAGAATATTTTGACACATCAGAACAAGACAACATTATTCTTCATGTTTGATGCACAGGTAGCATCTTTTTACTACTATGTTCCTATGTTAAAAAGAGCAAAGATTTTTATTACTAGAAAATGTGCACTCTCTGCTTTTAAGTTATTTCAGGCAAAGGCTTTAGATGAGATGTCAAAATCTGGAAATTCAAATATGACTTTCACACCATTGAAAATAATAACAAGATTCAAACCCTACCTTTGTTTTTCATGCAAAGTATGTTGCAGGAATTTTTTTGTTTTAGAACTCTGAAGTTGTCTGTACAGTTCCAAAGTAAATCATCTGTTCTGTATGACTGATGCTTCTCTCTATATTTTGAGTATTATGCCTTGATCACTTACTCAGGAGCAGTCTTGTAAATGAAAACACTGGAATGGAAATTAGGAAATACTTTGTTTCCACAAAAGATACTATATATTCTCTGTTTAGTCTAATTTTCATCAAGGGCTAATTTCACAAAGTTGCTTATTCTCCATATTTCAGACATGGATTCATTAAAATCTTTCCTTTCTCCAACCTCCCACTGTCAACTTTTACAGGGTTTTTTGATAACTAGTTAAGAATAAAGTGTACCATATTGATACCACGTATACTGGGTTGGGTTTCTGCATGCAGCTGTGAAGTGAAAAATGACAATAAGGGGTTTGGTATTAAAAGGCCAAAGTTGCACAGATAAAACAGCAGTGTCAATTACCCATCCCCTAAGTAGCTAAAATAAAAAGCCAGGGCAGACTAGAAGTGATTTTGTTCAGATGAAGTATTTACATATTTTCCTTGCATTAGTGCTTTTTTTTCTCACAAGACCATAGATCAGTTACTAAACTATCAAAATCTATCCCTGTCTTTGTTAACATCTAAGTGATTAAGTACCACTTTATCACAAAAAGTGAGCCTTGACTGATGAGAAAGCAGCCTGCCTCATATACAGGCAGTGAAATCAAATATTATCCTAGAATCATAAAATGGTTTAGATAGGAAGGAACCTTGTGGATCATCCAGCTCCAACCCCCTGCATGCACAGGAACACCCTCCATTAGGCCAGGCTGCCCAAAGCCCCATCCAGCCTGGCCTGTGGCAGTGACAGTGCTGCTCAGCTTCGCAGCTCTGTCCTGGACTGTTCAGGCACCCCTCCCCTCAGACCAGCCATTGCACCTGAGCAGTTTTGAGTTCACTCATGTGCAAATACAAGGCTGGCAGCCTGAGCTGCCTGCACTGTAGGTGAACCAAGGCAGGCAAGACTGGTTCAATAGGAATCTCAATCAGACATCAGGTGGAAACACCCATTAGCACATCTATTTACACATAATTTGCAGAACAAAGGCCCTGGAATTAGCACATCTATTTACACATAATTTGCAGAACAAAGGCCCTGGAATTAGTAATCCTTAGAACAGTACAATATTAGCCCAATATCTGGCTAAACCCTCTAGGAAAATACAATTATCAATGCAACAATTCCAGCTAATATAAATCAGAAGAGAGGAGCTGGAAGGTCAGGGGAGGAGCCTGTGACGGGTAGTAAAGCACCAGAAGTATAAATAGGGGTAGTAAAGCACCAGAAGTATAAATAGAATGAATTTTTCCACTTCTAGAACACAGCTCAGTGATGAGGGGATAGGGAAGATGAAAATCTCAGGAGGAACTTCATGAGGCTGCACCTTCCTGGCCATGTAAGCACAAGGATTATAGTGCTGCATTTGTCTTTGTCCATCTTTTTAATCACATCCAAAATATCATGTTCTGTTCTTCTGGGACAAACATATGTGTGTTCATGTATCTGTATATTTTAGTAATTTATATAGAAATAACCCAGTGGTCTGCTGAGAAATGCACATTACATTTAGATGAGCAAAGGGAATAACAAAGAAAACAGATAAATCCCATTACAGGTGTCTGTGAGGAAGAGAATACTGATGTGGAGCTCCAGTTAGAGAATTTTAACAGCTGTCAACATTAAAATACCCCAGTGGGAATTAGAAGACTAAAGCCTTTAACAAATCTTGCAGGTTACTGATGTTTGGCCTGTGCATCCACAGAGGGTTGAAATTAATGGAGCAAGGTTTAAACTCAGTCAGTGGTCTAGGATAATTTTGTATTCTGGTAAAACTCATCTTCATCATCCAGAATGAATGCCTGTCTTTTACCAAGAAAAATCTACTAAATGTCACATTTTCAACCTTCTGAATGCTCAGACCAATATATGCAACCAGAGGACTAAAAGTACTGTGTCACTCTTAAATGTAGCAAGATTTAAAATTGTAAGCTACTGATAGCTTGCTATTCACTTGCTTTAGTTACCCCGCTAGAATTGTGAGCTAGGTTCAATAATAGAGCATACAATAATGTTCAATGACCTTAATTTCTGTTAGTTACAAAAAAAAAGAAAAAGAAAAAGAAAGAGACTCGCCTTAAGAAGAGCTATTTGTCTTGTTCATAGACATATTTGCCTTTTGTTTATCCCCACTCCTATGAAACATCTTTTCTTTCCTTCCCACAAGTGCTCTCCAATGTTCCAGCATTTTGTGAAAAGAACTGTGTGGCCTTCTGCAATATGAAGCACTATGCTCAATATTCAAACAGAAAATAAACACTACAGGATCCAAACTGCAGCAGGATTTGGCTTTCAAGATTCAGAAATGCTGGGATTTTAATGCTTGGTTAATTAACTTCAGTATTTTAAACTATACATGATTCTCCAAACTTCTGTAAATAATGGACAGTTCAGACTGAGAGTTTCTGTCTGCTCTGGTAACAAAAAATTTTTTTTCTAGTCACTTGGTAAAAAAAGATTCTGATGCTGTATTCTTCTTCTGTTCATTGATCTATTTGGGTAATTTTCAATTAGTAAAGTAAATAGTTACAGGTTCCAAGAAGACATAATGCTTATTAACAGTTTTGCAACCCATTAGACTACTCACTGTAGAACAAAATGAGCCCCTCCTATGCTTACTTGTCCTTAAAAGAAAAATTATAGAAATCAAAATACAAATAAAAAATACTTAAAACAGTTGATGTTAATGCATTTGAGAGAGAAGGGAAGAGTAGCTTTAGCTTTCTGTCCCAAAGGTGATAAACTACTCCACCCGTGAAGTCCAGCCTGTTAATTGTTATTTTGAAGGCTATTCACAACTATTGCAAATGAAGGGCCATTTTCAATCACTTGTAATAAAAGGGACGTCAAAAACAAATATCCAGAAACAGGTTAAGAAACATCATACAAATGAAAGGTGATTTGCACACACAAAATCTCACAATTGAATTCAGAAGCATCAGTGTTGTAAACTGGTATTTAAAATTCAGCATATTTAAAACATAATAGAACTTTTGTAAAATAACATGTTTTCCTAATTGTCTAAACTAGTAAAAAATTATTAATTGTCTAAAACCATCTAAGTGAGCAAGAAAAAATGAGTCCAAAGGAGACTCTTTTCCTAGAGTCCACCTTCTGCAATGAAATCTAAACTGTGGTTGAACCCAGTTTTTTAGCTAACTACAACACAACACAATAGTATTTGGCTAAGCCTGCAGATCTCCAGGGATTATTAACCCTTTGTTAGTAAATGTAGCCTTTAAATTAATTTTTTGCAGACTGAGGAAAACAAAAAAGAAAACATTGGATTGAAGATCTAAGGTGAATAGAGAACTAGCCTAATTTCTTAAATGAGCCCAACCTATCCAGTGGCTGGAGCACATGCTAACTCATCCTGAAGCTCTCTGAAGGTTAAGTGAAAACAGGCTACATCTTGCAGCACTAAGTCATCAACTGCCATGGGGAAATCTGCTTAAGTACAGAGTGCTGGGGATGGTTTGCAGTGTGTACTCTACAGAATGTTGCTAGAGAAATGAGGCAGTTGCAAGCGTATTTGAAAGAGAAAGGACCCGACTATAATTAGGAGAGAAGTGTGCATTAAAGGCTTTTAAAATTTAATTTGGATACCAAATTACATCTTATTTCTCTTTCCTTAACAAATAACAACAAAAATCTTACAACCTAAAATAAGCTTCTTTAAAACTTAAAACAGCAGCTATTACCCAGTGGCTGTATTATACTATCACCCTGAAAATACCACCCAATGAGGTCTTGCTGTACCTGCCCTACAAATATATGAACTAATTCCTATCCTAAAGTGTTTGTAGTTTGTATGTTATAAAATCTAATTATAGAGTGAGCATAAACCACAAAACCTCCTACAAGTGGCAAAAATCTGAAAAACCAAGATAATTACAACCCTTGTTCATCCTGACTTTTGAGACTATTTTTAGAACAGCATAGGCTGATGTGCTCTGAGCTTTTTTATATTTGCATTAAGTCCTCTGTGATTCCTCCTCTGAAATGTGTGCATATGCTGAGTCCATGTGAGATGCTACCACTGGCGCTTGTCATAAGAATTAAATCCCTCTCAAGCTTGTTTACAGCTCAGCTCTTGTCATACTGCTCCCCTGAGCTTCATGCCTGGTTGGGTTTTTTCTTTCTCTTTGGCTTTGTGAAAGATTTAATTTCTTTTTTGTTTATGTGTGTACTTACACTTGCAGGTGCAGAAGAGAAAAAAATCACTGTACCCAGATGTTCTGAAGCTGCAGTAGCATACATACAGCTGAAATTAGTGAGGAAAAACTGTAGCAGATAAAACCAACTTTCCCTTACATTCTGTAGCATATTTAATAAATTTATCATGTCTCATTGAGAAAAAAGACTCTCAAATTCCATTTTAGGAAGACCAGAATATTTTACAGTTGTTTTTTTCGTCCTTTTGCAAAGAGCTTTTTAACATCTGAACACGGTCCAATTACTCTTACTTCTGTTTCACTAACATCCTCTTGTAATGGTTACAGACTCCATCACCACTGCTGCTACTGCAAACCAAGCTGTCTTAGCTCATTACTGAATTTATTAAAGCTCACAGTTTCACTCAGAATTTTTGCTCATCATTTGAAAATTATACAAAAAAAAACCAAACAAAATCAAACCCCTAACAACACCCTTGCTTCTGTAGTAATAGGAGAAGTCATTGTCTGGAATGCCTGTAGGGACTCCAGCTCGGATCTCTCATATCATGTCTAGTTAAGCATATCTCCACAACTGTCACTGGTTAACCCTGCAGTTCATTTACCCACTGCAACAGTCCATAAAAGAGTGAAAATACCAATAAGCTGTGGTTTCACAGCCACCTCCTGCAGCCTTCCCTTGACACACAGAGTGATGGCTTGTCTGCTTCACCTTCACAGCAGCTGCAAGCAGAGCCATTCCCAGGAAGCAGAAGGGCTGCTCAAGCCTTTGCTCCACCTCAGCACCTGCATGGAGAACCTTCCCGCATGCATGTTCCCAGTCAATCCACTTTATTCACACAGCTACATGTGGAACAAAAGAATTCTTCTGTGGACTTTTTTCTGATCAACTTTTACCTTTTGACTTTTCTAGTCATGCACAATTTGCAACACACAGAACTTGCTGACAATGGGAATAACCAAAATATAAGCATCTGACGCAGGACCCACTGGAATTTTAAAGGGCACTCCTGTGAAACCTAAACAGATGAATCTACTTTTTTGGTTTTTTTAGCTGTTTTCAGCTTCAGTAACTTCCTCAGAGCTCCACTGGACACTATGTGGAAGAGCCTGATCAATGGTTCTGTGACATGACCTCTACAATCATAGCGTTCTGCCTGCTGGCATAGTGGGGAAGTCAATTCTTTTACTTTTGTACCCAAGAATTTGTTGGGGTTTTCCTGGATTTCCAGAAAGCATCAATGTTTCCTGCTCTGCACGTTCAGCAGGGTAAGTGAAACATAAGAGAACCTAGTGGATAATACAGGTGAGGCACAGAAAGTGCTTTTCACCTCCCCATAGCCAGATACATTGCAATGATCCGTATTTCACTTGATGGACAGGAATAATGTTTGGACCAAGAGAATTTTGTCAATTACTGATCTTTAACTAAAGTATGTACATTATACTCAAGAATATCACGTTACCATCAGGTCAAATCTTTGTGCTGTGAAGTGACTGGAAACAGTTCTGTCCGATGCTGCACAGAATCTCATGTT